TGGTACTACTACTACTACTACTACTACTACTACTACTACGACTACTACTACGACTACTACTACTACTACTACTACTACTACTACTACCACTACTTCTACTTCTACAAGGAGGCGGAGAAGTGCGGTTCTCACGGAGTCTCTTTGGGTGATGAGGTCCCCAGTCCCGAGATCCCAACCTGGAGCCTAACCTAAGTCGAGCAAGCAGAGTGAAGATAATCATGAGCACGCTACCAATAGTCACAGCCATCACCACTTTGACAAGTATCGTAGACAAGGCTTGGCATATTGAGTACTACACGTCCGGTTTAAGGTAACTGCATCAATTTAAGCTTCTTTCCTGGACTGCCCAGAGGCCCTGCAACCTCGGGCAGTGACGGGCGTAGGGGATGGCGCCAAGTAGGATATCCATTCCGCCCAGCGCGGACACCTAGGCTTTGTGCTCAGAAATCCGGATCTGGTGCCCGGGTTCTGGATGCTAGGAGACTTTGGGCTAGCTGCCTGGGCTCGTCGCGACTGAAACTTGTATTCAGCAAGCCAACAAGCTCGAAGAACAGGCAGCTGCAACCATGGAAACTGCCTCCGAAACGTGCTATCCGCCACCAAGCCCTGGACCCAAGCCACCCCAAAACCCGATCTCGAAGCGCCGAGTCCCTGAATGCCAAACCAAACCCTGACCACCCTAGACCACCCGACTCAACAGCCGAACTTCCAATGCCCTCCACAAGATAAGAGCCAGTAGAACCTTTCAAGAATCATAATAGAAGGATTCTAAAGCACATGGCACAGGCGCCCTATAGAAAACCCCTCCCGAAAGGTCTGCCCTGAACCCGACGCCCTAAACCCCTACACCTGTCCAAGAGCTTTTCACTGGGCCCGAAGACCAGTAGTAGCAGCCCCAAGTCGAAGATGTCCTTTCTTTAAGCTTTCGGTCTCGGTTTCTTGCGCAGGGATTCGAGTTTTGAGCTGAGGTCTTAGGGCAAAAGCGCCGAGATCCAGGGTTTTGGGTCTCGGGGGCTTGAATCGCAAAATCTCGGGGTTCAGGGTTCTGAGGCTTTCGGCGTTTAGGGGCATATGGTTCCGAGTTTGAGGGTTTAGGGCGTATCGATGGCTTGAGGGTTCAGCCATATTCCTCTTCCGCAAGTTGCTGGTCTGGCTATGGATTCGAGGGTTTCTTTGCAAACTCAAAAGTACCGATGTGACTGTGAATGTGCGCGAGGGTCTGATTTCCATAAACTCTGACAATACGTTACTCGTCATCCTAGGCACAGCTGGACTCTCAGATACAAAGCCTCGAGGAGTTTTTGTTGGCAAACCAGCTGCGGCATATTAAATTAAAGCTCACACACGATAATGCCTAGGGCCTATGGCCTATGGTCGCGTCCACCGTCTAGCCGAGCTCAATACACCAGAACCCCGAAGAACTGGAATCTTTGCTCCGAGAAGCCACCGCTGTGGACTGTTCGACGTGTGCTTCGGCACCTTTTCATGGGGCCGTCATCATCAATGTCATTGTCAACATCAGACTTGTGCCCAGCTTGGCGAATGCGCGCCTGCCGAGAGTATCAATTATTCGTCGTGTCACAGGCATGGTAGTGACCCTTGTTCCTTGTGCCTGGGCCGTTATGACCTTAGCACGGCATGTAAAAGATCAAGATATGCCGATATTCGCTTTGCGGCATTCCGCTTCCAGAATTTGCACTTCCCGCTTTGTCATATGAGCATGCTGCAACAGCTCTTGCTGGATGGGTGTGCAAACACAGTGCAATGACGATGATTCTGATGTCGCAGATGTTGAAGATGACGACGACGATGATGACGACGAAGAAGAAGACGACACTGACGCCGCTGATGCTGATCATGACGACGATTAACCAGAAACGGTGTGCATAAGAAATCCCGATGATGATGTTGGTGATGGTGAACACAGCGCTGTGGCGAGGATGGAACATGCATGCGGAAAAAACATTGAAGATGGATCCGCATTCCGGCAAGGGCATGCTGAATTCGCGCGTCCCAACCAGTCGAGCTGCGCATGCTCCGCATGCTATTTGAACCTATTATCATCCCCAAAGTTATGGCGAGCATTGATGACGGTATGTCGGGTATGTATGTGGGGTCATGTAGAACCCATCTACACCACTAACTGCCACTAATCCCTTTGCAACTGATCTCAGATGGCCATATCGGTGTGCAGATTCAGAGGCCTGGTGCATCAACCGGCACACCGCCTGAAGCAGCAGCGACGACCTGCCCGCAAGAGTACATCTATCATTTGTCTATCATCAATGCAGTGTAGAGCTACCAGCCAACGCTGCGACTGTCCTCGTTGCAGGAACAAGTCCTCAGGACTTCAAGATGCGCCAGCTACAGTACTGTCAAGAAATGCTCAGGATAAGTGGATGTGCCTCTTGGTAGGAGGCTTAGGTTGCAGGAGCCCTAGCCATAAGGTCTTCGAATGGGCCGAAAGCCAAGTTGCTTTCACAAACTCACACTCCGACACTTCGACTTGAGCACATGCCGAGTCACCTCGGTCCGTGCAAACTCTTGGGAAAATGACGCTGGTATTCTTCAGCAACGTGTTGCTCGGATCCCAAACCCTTACACTCTTAAACCCTAACAACCCAAAGCCCCTAAACGATTTATGTTGGCAGTATTTCAGCAACGACAGCCAGAGTGAGGATATGTAAGCCACAACGATCAATGATATCAGAGATCATCAACACCATCATCACCGACAGCAAGCGCAACAAAACTCATACACGATCATCGAAAGTATGACCAACGAAGCACAACCACCTCCCTCACAACAACAACACCCTCGGATGTCTTCAGGACACGCTAAGACGCCGTTTTTTCTCCCCTTGCGGCATTCGTCTTGCTTCTGCTCAGGACTTCCCAGCCTCCTGGCCGCCATGGGTTGGGTTTACGGCTTGATGGAGTGAGTTCTGAACTTCGGCTATGCTTCATCAATGGGGTTGGGCTGCTGAAAACGAAAGTGGATGTTCGAGCCGATTAATCCATCAGTTGTATGGTGTCGGAATGTTCGAATCATTGCGCGCCATGCTTACTGCTGCAGCTGCTACAAGCACTGCACCCGCTGCTGCCACTACTGCTACTTACTACTACTACTACTACTACTACTACTACTACTACTACTGCTACTACCGCTGCTACCGTCATCACTACGACTACCACTACCACCTGCACTACTGCTGCTACCACTGCCACTACCAAAGACACTGCCGCTATGCTTGTCATTAGTACAACAACACGAGGACGACAACGACGATGACGATGACGACGACG